GGCCACTTTAGGAGAATGACATTTTTAAACATACTTTAGTATGTTTAACATAAGAACTACTACAGGAACATCTCATAGTAAAGTTAAACTGCAGCAGCTCGGTAACATTACCTGAAAGTTATGTCAGTGAAAGTCAGGAAAAGCCTGATGGGTTACCAGGCGAACCAAAAGTCCTTCAAGCTAACTTAAGGTTATGTATATAACCCAGGTTCTCTGAGTATCAGATGTGAGTCACTGTGGGGACGCCCCTCATCAGAAGCTGCTGTTACACCTACAGGCTGGCTAAGTGACACCAGTGTCAGGAGGGGCTACGGCCTCAGGTGTCATTCAGACTGCAGGAGGGGGTCTGGTGAGACGCTCACTTATGCTACTTTAGCAAAAAGGAAAGCTCGAAGCCTGATTTTAACCAAGCAACGCCCCCTTTGTTGTAGCGTTCATGTCGCATTGCTATGACGACAAGCATGCACACTGTGTTGTAATGGGAAACCAGTCTATGTATCTGACATGCACCCACCCTCTCTTCCTTCTTTACCATGGAAACGATCCTGTGATCATGTGCGTCCACCTCAGTATGTGCGTCGCACCAATGAAGTGCAAACTTATTCCTCTCAGAGCTTCATTAAGACTTTGTGATAATATTTCTGCGTATCGTCATCAGGGTTGTGAGTTGTATGAAACGTTTTCCTGTCCTGTGATTCACGTTGTCTTCAGGAGAAGCTAGCGTCGCTGGAGGCTAGCATCGAGCAGCGTTTAAAGTGGGCCGGCGGAGCCAACCCAGCACTGGCGCCTGTCCTGCAGGACTTTGAGATGACCATCAGAGAGAGACGCGCCATGGTGGCCAGAGACAACCAGCGCACCAGCCAGGTACAGCCGCTGCTGCGTTCGCCTCCTGCTGTCACTGATCGCCACATTTGGACAAAATGCCAATTTTGCCCCTCGTCCTCACCAGGTCACATTCCTGTGCTCCACCATCCTCAACTTTGAAGGCCTTCGGACCCGATCCCCCGAGGCGCTCAGCATGGACGCCGCCCTGTTTGAACTGCTGAAGCGCTGCCAGCAGACGTGTTCGTACGCCGCCCAGTTCAGCAGCACGGTGTCTGCACTGGAACTGCAGCTCCTGCACAGACTGGTTGGTTTGACCTTTGACCTACATTTCTGTCAACAAGAAAGTTTTTCTGGTGCAGCCTTGTTTTTGTACCACATGCACTGATAACATTTAAATAATTAGTCCTTCATCTTTAATAACATTTCCACATATAATGCTCTGCTGTCACATGTAGGATGTTAAAGCTAGTCTGTCAGGCTATGATACATTTAAAAACACTGAGTTCAGGAAGTTATTAAAACTTTTTTATTAAAACTCTCAGCATGC